CCAAGCAAAATCCAATAGTTTGATGTCGAGGTTACGAGAGTTGTCTCAAATCGACTAGATTTAATGGGTTATATCCACTTATGAATTTAAAAATGTTTGTTAATTATAGCATATCGAATATAAATATATTTAAAAAATTTCTCCGAAAATTTGAATCGGATTTGGAAAATAATTTCGGAGATATATAAGCGTATTTGTAAAAACTTTTTAACTTAATCGAAACTTTGATTTCTCGAAACGCTGTTTTCAGAATCGGTAAGCAAAACTTCTCTGAAATGGCTTGATCGGTTCGTCTTGAAATTTTCGCACGCAATAGCTTTGTCAACTTCGATTTTTTAAGCCACTCTGCTTTTAAAATTTTCTATTAAAAGGTTTTTTTTTGGGAATCCGTCAATTTGTTAGAATAAAAATGTTGAGCTGTCCTTCGATCCTTACCTGTACTCATCTATTACAATAATCCTGTTTTTTAAATTTATATATCTTTTAGTCTTAAAAATCTTCCTCTCTGCCAGACACCATTTTTCGGAGGTCCTCCTGGAAAGCGGCTACATGACTAGGGGCATCTAAAATTTTTCGAAATGAAACGACGATTATTAAAGTGCATTAAATTCTGAAAATGTACATTATTTGTATTTATTTATTAGGTAATATGCCTCTTCAAAAAATTCAACAAAAAAAGCGCGTTTTCAGTGGATATACATATCTCCTTAAACTGTTTTTTGACTGCCGCGTGTGTAAAATAGTCAACGACGTTGTTATTATTTTGCGATTTGTCCGCAACTGTGACAGCTGTTGTCTGAATATTGAATACTCCATCATGTGGTTTAGGGGAGTTAATTTCTTTTTTAATTTAATTTCGTGTTTTCAAATTCGCCCTTACGCGGATTTAAATGCAAATTCAATGCACCACCTAGTCATCACCTATTCAAGTTATAGGCACACCGACAATACATAGATGTTGTACCAACGACCACAGGCACGCTTTGAAGTTGCTGACTGCCCGCTATACGAGTAAGTACATATATGGTGTGCATGCGTGTAGCATGGTATGGCTAACGGTTTCGTTGCCATTGCCATTGTTGACCGGCAGCGTGGAATGAATGTACTCGCATCATCAACTACAAGCAAACATTTTTAACATCACATGTGTGTAGGTGAGTGTGTGCCTGCGTGGGTAACAACATTTGTGATTTGCACCAAATCATTTCACTGCGCCTCTCAGAGGCAACGCCAATCTTCTCCCCCTCCTTTGTTTGGTTCTTTGGTCGGCGCTCGTGTGCATTCGACCAAATTTTAATGGCTTACATACAGTGCATTGCCGTGGGCGCGGTTATGCTGGTCATGGAGTAACGGGCTCTGGATGAAATAGGATCAGTGGCCTGCTTTGCCCGGATCTGGCCAGCGGCGACGACTATTTAATGGTGAATACATAGAGTTGCTGAATTGTAACGGCGCATGCTGTGTATGTATAGCTGTTATTGTTGCCGCATACAAATAAGGCCGCAACAATGGTGAAGGGGAGCAAGTAGCACACGCACACACACACACACACACTTTTATATGTATTCATAACAGTACTCGCTGGCATTTCCCTCCTACTTTCCGCTCCAATTTCGGTTGAGCACAGGATAGTACTGCATATCCTGGCAGTTTTTTTCGCATTCTCCTTACAATGATACGAACCGTTATACTGTCATTGCGTTGGTATTGTTCTGTTAAATGTTCAATGATTATGCATTGTCTCGCAGTTGAATTTTGTGGTGCTCCTGTCTTTGTTTTTTTTGTCGAATTTTTCATGTGTGGCATTAAGCCATAGCTCATAGATAACAAGTACCGCTACACTTAATTTTTAAACAAGTAAGAATACCGCCTAATTTTTTTATTTTCTTTGTTTCAGTAAAAATACTCAACAGGCTATTAAAATTATACAATGCGAAACAAATCTGGGCTTCATTTTAGTGGCAGTCAAAGCATTTTTTTTTTGAGTCCGAAAATAGACTCTATGTAAAATTTAAAGTTAGGCATTTCGGTCGAACAAATTTACACTTAACACCTCCACAAAAGGTGACATTGTCCCTCCTTCTAAGAAGATTCAAAAACTGTGCATGAAAAGGTCTCTAATGATTTGAAGTAATAGGAAAATAAGTTAATCCTTAACGTGTACATTTCTTATATGTACATTCGCGTATATAGAGACAGACAGATATAGATAAATCGTGTTGCTGAATTTTTTTTACCAAACAATTTTTTAAGGTCTGAAAACAGAAAAAGTAGCTGAGGTTTATTTCCGGGAGAATAAAGAAGCGACCTTTTAAGTTTGCCTTGTACACCTATTGATTCACCGAACAATCGGAGTAGGACACTTTAAACTATTTTAAAAAGGAGACATAACCTCAAGAATATGGTATACTAATGCTTCAAACAGTCACCGACATTCCGCCCATCTGTACTTACCGCTCGTAATAAATAAAATTTTTCAAAAGTTATGTCCGTAGTAGCCACATATCAATCAGTTGTTCTTTTTGGTTTCCATTTGTATACTAGCTTTTGCACACATTTAGTATTAAAAATAATCTACCTATTTTTAAATAAACGTATTCGACTGAGAGAGTAATCCGCTCACTCATTTCTACGAAAAAAATCCAATTTTCGCGGATATCCTACCGTACGGTTTGTAGAAGCGGACGGTAGAAGCAGTGGTGAGTGTTCTTTTACATTGCGCTCTCATAAGATAGGACTTATCAGCTATATATATATATATATATATATAGAAATATATCCGAATATGTTTTGGCACAAAAGTAGATTGACATAATTACATCTGCGCCGACATTCCTAGAAAGTCTAAGTTAAAAATTCCACATTGAATCATCCCAACCAGCGAATACTCTTGTGTGGTTCAACAAACGATGTAAGCTCTATCTCGTTGAAAAAAAAAATACTCTCTAAAAGGTTATTAATTAATGCATTTGCTCTTATTAAGGTTTAGAATTTTTCTGTAATAGGTAGGAAGATGGTTCGATCTATGCAAGTGGTTGGCGTTTCATATTTCATAGCACAATAATAATAATAATAAACCCAACGATTACCCTCCTCCCGCCCAACCGACGCGAGGGGCGCAATCCGCATACGTGCGAAATTAGCCGAGTCAGAAAAGGCAAGAGAGTTTTTTAAGTGTTGAGATCTAAAACTGCTCAGCTACAGAAACAAAAATTTCAACAGCTAAGATCTAAAGTTACAATATAATAAATTGTTACATTTTCATTTATTAAGAGAAAACAATAAAGTCTTTTTAATTTTGAATGTGCTGGAATGAGAATTAAAATCATGACATATACGGCGGAATGGCTCGTTTAGTTCAAAATTTGATTTACAGGATTTTAGCAGTAAAGGTCTAAACTGCCTCGAAAGGCGAACCGGGATATTAAATTTAATTTCAGACAGGAGAAGAGAACTGCAAACAGTTCCATTCAAAAGTTTCACTAAGAATATTATGCCAAGCATTTCCCTACGACTAGAAAGTGTAGGTAGATTAATAAGTTTTAAACGACTTGTGTATGGAGGTAGACTTACCCTAGCATCCCATCGGAAATGCGCTAAGGCGAAAAGTAAAAATTGTTTTTGAACCGACTCTAACTTGTCAGAATGGATTTGGTAGCTAGGGTTCCATACCACAGAGCCATATTCCAATATAGGTCTAACCAAAGTTGTATAAAGTGTTTTAGTAATATACGGATCTCTAAATTCTTTAGACCAACGTTTAACAAAACTGAGGACAGCTTTTGCTTTCAAGACCATGGTATCAATATGAAGACTGAAATTAAGCTTAGGGTCCATATTAACTCCCAAATCAACATAGTTTAAAACTTGCTCTAGAATATGGTGTTTTATCACATAAGAAGAGGGGTGCACAGATCTACGGGAAAAGCACATCGTCTTACATTTATTGAGATTCAATGGCAAATCATTTCTATCACACCATGCAACCAAATTGTTTAAGTCTATTTGCAACAGACACCTTTCCTCAGTTGAAGTGTATGATTTAAAAAGCTTTACATCGTCAGCGTATAATAAAATTTTTGAGAATTATATTACTGAAGAGATATCGTTAATAAACAACAAGAACAGAATCGGGCCAAGATGACTACCTTGCGGAACACCAGAAGAAACATTAATTGTATCTGAAGGTGTATCCTCAAATATCACTAGTGTAATCTTATTTCACACCTACATTTACGTTCTATCTTTCAGTCAGGGCTGCCAGACCTGCGGATTTTTTTGCTGACATCGTTATGTATAGAAAATATGTGATGTATGACCTTAACGGCTTTTTTTTATGTAAACAGGTCTTCACATACATATGTAGTTTAAAAATAACTAACCAACCAAGGATAACAAGGGTAGAATTGAAATTATTTATGATGGAGATAAAGTTTCTGTTTCAGAAGCGACTTTCCATTCCATTTTCTCACCTGCGAGCTTGAACATCAAGCCTTAAGATATGCTGGCGGATTTCCAAGCTATGTTGCCAATTTTGCTGCTGTTTCGTCTTAGATTAGTTACCCAACTTTACCACACAGTAGTGCCAATGGTCTCAAGAATCTATTAGCTATTACAGTTGCCGCCGAATTGGAGTTCAAGAAAGCTGCTACAATCAAGGAGTTCTTCTAAAACAAGCTGCCGGAAAGTAGTAAGAAGCTAAAAATGAGCAGTTGGAGTCAGAAGAATACGACGATAGGAGTTACGCTCACTTCAACTTAAGAGTTCAATACTCTTTGGCAGAGAACTTTCATAAATTAAAAATTAAAAACAAAATTTCCAAAGAACCCTCTGGTAACTACGTATATAATAATTAAAATGCAACACTGCGTTTTGTGTTTTTTGTTTGTTTTTATCGTAAAGTTTTTTATTTACTTTTATTTATTTGTTTAAAATTTTATATTATCAGTTATTTCTCATATACGTCATTAAATGTGTCTTGTTGTTGTTTTTTGTTGGTATTTTGTTTTTGTTTCTGTTGTTGTCTTTTGTTTTTGTTCATCTATTAATGTATTTGCGGTGTTTAGTGTACACATTTGTTAAATTTATTGTTTTTCATATTTGCATATCTTCCATTTATCGGGTTTGTCGTTTTTTATTTTATATATAGTATATGTATATATATTAATGTAAATATTGTAACTGTAATTGTAATTTCCATCGAAAATAATGCTCAGACAATTAAAAACACTCATTTAATTTTACTGCTGCTTGGAGCGCTTAGTACATACATATCAACTATTTTTGTTGTTGGTTATATTTGTTGTGGTTGCTTTTGCTTTTATATCCATGTTTATTTGTTTTGTAGTATGTGTCTGTATGTGTGTGTAATTGGTTTGCGATTTTATTTGTTTTTATGAAATGGTTGTTGCTTCATGACAGAAGATTTATTTGCTCTGCTATTTGAAGGAAGGAAGGTGAAAGTTGTTGTTTGTGGTTGTTGAGTGTCCTTAAATCATAACGAAGTATTTGATTTGAAATTTACTAAATTCTACATTCAAAAGTCAATTGTAAGTTTAAAAGTTCAATGATTTCGTGTGCGATTTGTATGATGATTGAGTCTTTTAAATTTTTTTGTAAGTGTGTGTGAGTGTGTGCGTGTGGTCATCCTCTCTTTACAATATTTACAGATATTAATATTTAAATTTCTAAAAACCTGTTCAAAAGTGTTTTATTGTTGGTTTTTAAAAGTGTATGTATTTTGTTATCGTTCTTGATTTTTTTTTCTCTGTGTTTGGGAACTGTTTGGTCTACCAAATAGTGGAATTTCATTGGAGTTGGAAAAATGAAAGATGCAGAAAAGCTTGAAAGCGTTCGACAGTTGCAAAAATTATATAAATTAAATTTAAACTTAATACCTTAAATAAGAAGAATTCAAAAATTGAATCTTGCAAAAAATATTTTTTTAAATTTTTTAAAGTGAAATATTTTATTGTTGTTTATATAGTTTAATTACATTAAATTAAACTTAGTGTTGGTATATTTATTGTACCTTAATTTTAATAATATTTTTATATTTTTTTTAGTTAAAAAATAAATAGTTAATTTTTGATTGAAAAAAGGTTTAAAAAATTAATTATTTCAAATTAAAAATTTGTTTCAATTAAGTATTTAAATATTTAATTAAGAATTAAAAATACTTTAATTGATTCTTTAATTTGAGATAAAAGTTTAAATTAAAATAACATCCTAATCATTAAATTTTAGTTTTAATTTTAAAAATTATGTAAAATTGTTGTTTTATTTCACTTTTTAAAGTTAAAGCATTAAACAAAAAACTTTTAATAAGATAATATTAGTTTTAAATGACACATTATCATAAAAAAACTTTGCTAAGCTGAGCTTAATAGATAATTATAATAAAATTAAAATATACGACTTAATGTCTATATAAATTAAGGAAAAATATGTTTTTAAATAATAAATTTTGTATGAAATTAGTTTAAATCAAAAATTGAGCTTACCTATATACTGGTTTATAATAATTTTAACGCCATTAAAATAAAAAAAAGTATTTTTTTAATTATTTAACTAATTTCGATTAAAATAATATATTGGTTTAATGTAAATTTAACTAATATAAATTAAAAATATTAATTGGCTTAATATAATTTTTTACTTAATTAAAATTTATAAAATTAAATTTAAATTTAATTAAATTAAAGGAAATAAATTTTTATAAAATTAATTGAGTATTAATTATACATATATACAAAGTAGGCACTACAGAGTGCTTCTAAATGAGTCAATTAACAGATTTTCCTTTGTCATTCTAGTACAGACATATTACTCATTGACTAAGTTATGAGGCTGACTGAAAGGACTCTAAACAATATTTTATTAAATTAAATCAATTTTAGTGTTTTCTTTCACAGTGATTGGCGCAAGCAATGCCCGTTCTATGACATAATCTCTATAATGAGTTAATTGGTTCCGTTTAAGAATATTTGACAGGCCTACAAATGAGTCAATTAGCAATTTTATCACAGTAGATATTAGTGTGAATAAGTTGCTAATGACTAAATTAGGGGACTTTCTGAAATGTAACTGCCAGAAGGTCTGTTTACTCTTTGGATAAGCTAAATTTAATTAAATTAGCAATTTTCACCTATACTTGTTCGTGCAAGTAATTTGATAATGGACTAAATAAAGCATCACGTGAGCACTTACTTCCGAAATTAACTCAATAGGGAAAATGAAGCGAACTTTGTTTGGTGGTATGTAAAATACGAGGTCTGTTTACTGAGTGGAAAATTAAATAATATTAAAACAAAAGAATTAACATATGAAACTTATATTTTTTAAATCGTTTCTATTCTAGATATTTGAGACAAACTCTTAATGTAGTAAATTATCAAAATTTTCTACACTGAAAATCATAGCAAAATTGGTTAATTGACTAAATTAAGTGTGTAATTTATACGCATATAATAATAATATGAATGAATTGATTAAATTAAAGATCAAAAATTTTAGAAAATTTAAAAATATATATAAAAATTGCAAAGAATACTACACATAAAAATATAAAAAATGATTAACAAAAAATTAAACTCACCAAAATTATATGAATTTTTTCAGTGTATAAAGTTGAAGCGGGCCTTTTATTGTAAGTAAAAGGAAAAATAAATTTGTTGCAGCTTTCAAGTCATAAAAATGTTGTTGTAAATAAAACCTTTGAGCGCAAAAAAAAAGTTATCGTAGTTTTTGTTTTGAATATCTGCTTTCACGCGTGTTTCCTGTTTGCTTGTAACGGTTTTTTAATTAGTTCTCTGTCAGCATAGAAATGCAAATATTTGTAATTTATTCACTATATTCGGTAAAATGGGGTTTTTCTTGGAAATTGTTTAATATTTAATTGTTTTCAACTTCTAGTTTACTTTTATAGTAAAATTTTTATTTCTATTTTTTTTGGATTTGGCTTTTTTTCTAAATTAATATCTTAATTTCTTTTTGTGTAAAACAAATATGTATAATTTAAATTTGTTTCATTTCATTTAATATTTTTCGTTTTTTGTTTATTTTGTTGTTGTTTTACTTCCTCATAATGTATCGTATGTATATAAGTAATAATTCTTAATTTAAATGCATTCGCATTTTTACTTGCTTTCATGCATTTTTAAAATTTTAATTTACTTTTAGTTGTTTTAATTTTAATAAAATTTAAATTTACTCGCTCACGCTCGCTCTGTGAACTCGCCGCGCCTGCATGCAAAACCACAGCCACAGAGAGGCGACACACATTGCTGTGTGTGTGTGTGTGTGTGGTTCGAGTCCATCTCGTCGCGTTTCGTCTCGGCTGCCGATTTCGGTCCATTTAACTGCATTCTTACTTACGGTATGTGTGTATGTATGTATATAAGTTTACTTTCTCCTATTTTCATTTCAATAATTTTTAATTTTTAATTATTATTTATTTTTGTTTTTGTTTTTGGTATGTAATTGCAACTCTTCTTGTTTTTTAGCAACTCTTAATGTATATATATATATGTATATATATATATATTTATGTATATATATATATTTGGTATATAAGTCTGTCTTTTAATTAAATTTTTTAAACTTATTAATGTGTTTTTGTTTTTTTTTCAGTATTTACTATTTTGTTGTAATCAAATTTTGGAGATCTCTATAAATAGTTTTGTGTTTTTTTCGTTTTTAAGGGTTCACACTTTTATTAATTGTTTTTGTAATGACACTCTGCTGTAGCTATGTATTTATTGAGTAATTTTATATAACTTTTTAAGTCGGATTTAATTTAATTTAATTTTACCTTCTATTTTTTGCTTTCATTTTCGTCTCTTGGTTTATTTGTTTTTTTGTTATCTATTATTCGTTTTACTTCTTTGTTTTCTTGTATGTGTGGTTGTTGTTGTGGTTTTTTGTAAGAAGTCTGTCAGTTAGTAGTGTTTTTGTTATTGTTGTTTGTTTTTAAAAATGAATTGCTCTCTTCCCCTTTTTCCTCCGTTTTTGTGCATTCATTTTTGTTTATGTTGTTGTTGTTTGTGTTTGTGGTTCTTGCATGCGTTTTTTTTGTTTGTGTTTTGCATTATGTTTCAATCAATTCAGCAGTTGTTTTTTTTGACTCTTGTTTTTGAATTCAAATTGAAACAATTCGCTGGGTTTTTAGTGTGTTGTTCTGGAATTAGGCGCGTGCTTTGCGTACACCTGCAATGGGAGAGAAAAGAAAGAGAGAGAGAGAATGAGAAAACTGTATTTCATTTGATAAAAGTACAGAAGAGAGAAAAATAAAGAAATTATCCTTGAGAGCCAAGTGCTATAGAGATCTGAAATTTGACATTTGAAAGAAATAAGATTGATGCCCGGAAGCTCCAAGCTCTACTCGATCTAAAGCATTATTAGTACAGTTATTATTACAGGGCCTGGACAATTAAGTTCGAGCTATATTTTATCGTAGTCGAGTAGTTTTACTTTTCAGAGAACTGAAATATTATATATTAAGAATGCCATACTTAAGTAACCGTTCCCTTAAGATTTTATGTATGAAAGCTCTCAAAAACAGCTTACATTTCCAATGCAACATACGTATTTGTCTTATTTGTCGGTCTTAAGGTCACAGTTATTTGTTAAGCCTGCGAAGCTTATGATTGATAATTAGTGGGCCTAGTCTCACACCTTTTACTATCTGATCAAAAGTGAACCGGACAGCTCCATTTCAACTGTGATGATTTTTGAAGATGTATTTTGGAGAGTCTACCATACCTACAACTACTTCCTGTGGCATGATGGCATAATCGGTCCTTATTTCTTTCGAAATGAGGCAGGACATGCTGTTACCATTAATAGCGAGCGTTATAACACGATGTTTACCGACTTTTTCTCGCGGAGTGTGATGAAATCGATGTGGACGATCTCTATTTTCAACAAGACGGTGCGTCGCCTAATGTTTCACGTATAAACATGGACATATTGCGTGCAAAGCTTAGCGACTCGTTAATATCGGTGTATGGCCCAGTCAAATGGAAATGTTAAATCAAAGTTCATAACCCATTTTGACCAAATATAAGTGTTTTATTTCATTTTAATTAAAAAATTTTCACGTCGTTGTTGTTGGTAGACCGATTATATCAGCAGTGTTAAAAGGCGATTAGGAGTTATGTCCGTCCATGGATCTTGGTTGATTATTCACAACACCGATTGCCATAGTTTTGGTATATGATAGGACTTTATACTATTTATACAAAATCTATCCTATTTTTAATCAGAGTTGATACATAACCCCAGAACTCCCGCGAAACTGATCATTTCAATAGATAATTTGCTCTAGCAAAGCAAACATTGTTAACTCCAATAACAGACCTCCAACCCTTTGTAATTACAATTCTAAACTCTAAACACACTTTTAAAACTTAATTTGTAAATATTTTTCCAAAACTAACTCCCTTTTGAAATATTAAGGAATACTGCGCGTCAACAAATGTTCGACTGTTGGCTCTTCGCTGCCAGCCACACCTTAACGCGGAAAGCGAAAGTCAAAAACATCCGCGACAATTGCTATACATGCTCCCTTACGAAGTTCGTGTTTCACAAGTTTATTTACCAAATACGCTGGCTATAACGGAACAAATATTTGAGAAAGGGCAGTATGCAAGTGGCAGAGTGTATGCTCAAGTTGAGTTGATTAATTTTTGGTGTGAGCGTGTTGATAAAAAAAGGGAATGCCGACAGCAGGCAACACTATAAAAGCAATAAAAAACCCGAAGTTCATGTTGATTAGGGAAAACGCGGCAGGGATTCAGACGAAGCTTGTAAAACGGTAAAAAGCATTAAAGGACAGCGCAATATTGCCCGCTGTTACTTAATAATGCAAAATTGTTCGTGGAAATAACACAGATAGACAGCGTTCAATTAATTTGTAAATTCATTTCTCCATTTTTTCGTACAAAGAATCATAAGAATGAACGCTCCCAGCAAACTCCAGTCATGTTGTGGGAAGTATGGGGTAGTTACAAAAAAAAAAAAAATAATAATAATAAAATATGACAAAGTGTAATCGAAGCTCAGTTGGGTGTAGCTTTGGCTAGACAATGTTTGATAAAGAGAATACAAATAAAAGCGCCATTGGGGTTTCACACAGTGAATTTTACTGTCTGGCTTTTCTTAAACGAGTTCAACGCTATAATGACTTTATATTAGTTATTAATTTGAGGGATAGAGTGATGATTTACTAAATACTATTAAATAATATGCGACTATAAAAATGTTATATTTATAACATGAACGTAAAAACCACAAGGAAACGTCGGAGACGATATCAAATCTATATATAAATGATCAGCGTGACGAGCTGAGTCGAGTTAGACATGTTCGTCTGTCTGTTGGTCTGACCGTCTGTCTTTATATATGCCATCTCGTCCCTCAGTTTTTGAGATATCGATCTGAAATTTTGCACATGTCCTGCCCTCCCCAAGAATCTGTTCACCATAGCATATATGCAGCTGTCATACAAACTGAACAATCAAGATAAAGATATTTTTTTACCCTTTTGTGCTACAAAAAATACACATATGACTAACGTTCCATTTCCTTGTAAAATAAATATTTTCTTGAGAATCATGTTTACCATAACCTTCTACTTACTACACAGGGACACTCCCACTTTTCAGAGAAATATTATGGGTCCCACAATTTTCATATACTGAATAGTAGGAAATAATTATTCAAGATTCAAAATACTCTACTCGGTAAAAAAATATCTTTTGTGTTCTTTCCGTAGCAGTTATTTTGATTCACTTTACTATTAAGACTATAATATTCAGCGATGTCATAACATTCTAAGTCTCAGAAACACGCCGTTAGATAATTAAGATAAACTAGCTTTGTGAGTTTTGGGGCCTATAAAAATAATATTCCGTATATATAAATATTTTGTGACAACGCTTGGCCTCATGTTGCAAGACCGGTTGAAAACTATATGCAACACAGCAGCTGGGAAGTTTTTCTTCACCCGCCTTATAGCCCAGACCTTGTTTCTTCTGACTACTATTTGTTCCGGCTCACTGGAATACGGTTCACAACAGCATACACAAAATTCGCTAAATTCATTCTTCCAAATGTCTTCTGCCTGTGGTTTTTCATTCTCAACTTATTTTAGATCTAATCAGCCACTGTAAACTCCACCAGCCACCCACTTACGTATACAAACCCATATGTTTATTAATGCTGAAGCAGACATATCCCTAAGAGAATTGGAAAGGACATTTGCTTTGCGGTCAAAGGATAATAATTTACATCGCTGCTTATGGTCAGAATTGCATAGAATTAGTTAATTTAAATTGGTAATTAATTTGAGCAAATCGAAACCGGAGCACTAACACATATTGAACGGATGGCACAGAAATTTATTAGTGAGACATTGCTTGTTGCTCTTTGTTGGCTGAGAGATTAATTGAAGTAGAGGTTATGGGTATATACTCGTGCTCAGAATACAACTATTGTATTTGTATTCTCATATGAGTAATGGGTTATAATATTCCTTTGTGACATTAATAGAAATAAGTGTGAGAAATGAAATTTTTCTGGAATAGAGAGTCATAAAGGATTTAATGAGGTCAGTTAAAACTTAGTACGCTCATAGCATCGTGTGGTATTCTCTCCGTAGAGCTTAGAGTTCTTTAAGCTCAAGTTCAACGATACAACTTAAATATCAGATCAAGGAGTGCAGCTCTAAGGTTGATGTGTCAAAATAGTCTGGGGCATTAAAATCTAAACATGTATAGATAGGGGTTAGTGATACTTCCACGACCCTTTTTCCGCCACTATAGTACACAATATCCCATTTTATAATGGAAAACAATTGGTGGTACTAGGCCATTATGGGTTCATATTGATCCGGTGTATGAATGATGCCGCAAAAAGGCGCTGAGATTTCATTTTTTAACAAAAATCGAAATTTCATACCAACAATCTAGCGCTTGAGGGTTTGACCACCGACTTCTCATATAAGAAAAATGCGTCACAGGTTCATTCCTAACATACATATTACTCATCAATCATATTTACACATACTCACCTTTATCCTTATTCTTACGCTGCTCCTTGGCGCTCTTATCCTTGGACTTGCCGGGTTTGCAATTCTTCTTAATGACACGTGTTGCTTCGCACGATGGATCGCTGGTCGCCTTTAATTTGTCAGCGCGTGTCATTTGACCGGTGGCACACTCAGACCAGGAACCCTTCTCATATCGGCAGGCTGCACGCATCATGGATTAAGGCGAGTCACATGTAAAGAAGAAGAGAAAAATAAAGGAATAAGCTCTTTGCATTATATCGCCAGGCGATGCAAGCGAGAGGAGATTAATTGGCATAATTATATACATTAATATAAACGAATGCTGCAGTAAAGATAAGCTCGTGTGAATCTAATTGATGGCATAAATTGGCATCTCCTTAATGTTATACATATTTATATGAGTGTGTTTATGTGTGTGTCTGTGTTAGTTATTGTCTAGGCAATTATACAAATGAATTTCAAGAAGAGTGCCGAGTCACTAATTGAATTCCAGCTAAGCTCCAGTATTGTATATTTGTACGTGTGCTTATATATATAATATATAATCATCATTGTCATTAGCACAGGCTACATTTCTTCGATTAACATTTTCCTTAACTGTCTCCACTCTATCATATAGACTAATATGAAACAAATTGGATTTATTATATTAATATATATTCCTTATATTGTATTCTATTGGATATGTAGCTTAGATAAAGTGATAAAAGTTTGTGGTTACTATCTAGAATAAATGGATTTAAATGCAGCATCATTGCAGAAATACAGTTGTGGGTATGAATTTGTCTTTCAATGTCGGAATATTGGTTCGAACCTGGTACCTTTGAAGTGGCAGTGATCATAATTTGAGATCAATGATCTGAAATCAAAACCACCTGCTTAAGCTTCGCGACAATCTTCTTATTTCCTGGCTAAAAAACAATTAGCTGACTTGGAAATCAAAAAGGTCTTTACAACGACAGAGCTTTGAGTAAGCTTGAAAGTAATCTAAACATCCACCAACTATGCTCGGCAATGCTTCTAACAATAAAAGGCAACCACACAGGCCAACATAATATGGAATGTTTTTGAAATGAAAAAAAAAGAAAGCTCGCAAAAATTGCAGAAAAGCTCTAATCAAATGTCGAATTCGGGCTAAAGCTCCACCAGCAAACCATGCTTGCAACAAAAATGTGGATCAATAGTGATTAAGTGGAATGCTAGTGAGAGTTCCGCCTTTCGGTACTTAGAAAATAGCATTTATTAACCAGTTTATCAAGGTTATCACTACTTCGAAGTTCGATAGAAAAGTACAAATTATTAGCTTTGTTGGTTCTTCTCTAACCAAGTATTTCTTGATTTGCATTTTTAATTCTATTAATTGGGTTCCATCCAAAATTATGTAAAGCAGAAATTTTGTCGGAACTTGCCTTCGAGAGCTCCGCAAATTGCCTAACAGAGATAATGGCTAGATAATCTTAAAGTAGAATTGCCCCTTATTTTCCTATTCCGTTACTTATTTTCGGAACTGCCATTAAAGAGGTATTTCATACTCTGGTTCGAGTAGACTTTTTTATATCAGTAAAATTATTAGCAGACCCGTCTTCTTCCAACCATCTTTGTGTGAAGTCTTAATTAGCGATGGTAAACGCGATTGCGATTTTACTCGTTTCCAATTCTACCCGATTCCAGTTCTATTCGAGAATTGAATTCTCTCGTAAAATAATGAATTTTTGTGAAACGACTTTTCATTTCCGGAGTAGATCAGTAATCGTATATTAATGGTAATATGTTATTAGAATTTTATACGTATAGGTTCAGTGGTAAGAGAGAAAGTGAAAGTGTCGGAAAATTTAGCTATTAAGTACGATAGTTAACTAGCCCGTGAAGATCAGCAGTCGTCTAACAAGAATAAATATGGAATTTCTTGGATCAAGCTGTAAAATCAAGTACAAATTGATCTTTTGCCCATTTATAATGCATTTTCGAGGGTTAATACAGTTCAAAATCTAGAGATGAACAGCTTTCTGTTTTCTCCGATGCGAGGGCAGTACCATTTTAATATGGCAATGGCAAGACCATTTCGCTATCTCACGCAACTTCAGTCTAAATCATATTGAATTTGAAGACACTTTGCCGATGAACGGAATGATTAAAAGTTTGACTTCAAGATGTGGATCAAGATGGATTTATTGGAACGAGGAAGAACGTATCTCTATACAAGGTTAGCAAAACAGATGCGAGAACTTTCAGATTCCTTTAAAAAGATGACGAAGAATGATTAAAAGAACAGTAGCTTTCAATTGAAGTGGGCTCAGCAAGCTTAAAGTTATGCTTTTGAGCGAAAACTTAATCGATAAAATTTGTTTTCTTAGATTGGGTTTAGCAACCGTTTATTTACGATGCGGAGAATTTGCTTGGCGATTTTTTTCTTTGCAAAAAGTTTAGCAACGAGTTTTCTAAATATTTTGTGTTTTCAATGAAATCACTGCTACGGAGTCGTGCGAAATGTTACAAAAGTGTTTTGTGGAGTTTATTTTAATACGAACACAACTATTTGAGTGGCAGAAAGCATTTAGTGAAGGTAGTGAAGTCATTGAAAACTTGGCTTAAGCGAGTTGTCCATCCGCCTCTGTTTACGACGATATTATCGAAAAAGTTGAAGTAACAGTGCTTGAAAATCGTTGTGTTGGCATAAAAGAGATATCATAGGATCTCAGCAAAGGATCTCAACACATTTTGGTTAATGTTTTGGGTATGAAGCGTGTGTATGCTAGACTTGTACCTACAGAGTCGAATACTTTGCAAGAACTACTCCAATAGGTGACAACATAGCCGAAGACTATCATTGAGCGCATCATTGTTGGTAACGAGTCGTGGCTTCATGAATATAAGGCAGAAAGCATCCAACAATTTAGCGAATGGCGCTCCAAAAATGAGCCAAAACCAAAAAACTAAAATTCTCTGAAGACACTGAGCGCCATTTTAGGCGAGGCTTATAATAAGTGTATGGAAAATTGTATTAAGCGTTGGCAGGCTTTGATTGGCTCAAGCACTTATTTTGAAGGCGATAATAAAGTTTTGTAAATATTAAACTATGTGAAAATGCACCTTTTTTTTGCCAGTCTGAGTCATATTTGATCAGATGGTAAACTTTACTGTACTCACTTTCAAATAAATTTGTTTTCTGTTTTACTTCAAATTAACTCCTTCAAAGCTTCCATTAACCGTACTTCTCTTACAACTTTTTTAGTGCTCTTTAAAGCAACAATTTGTACTAAAATTAACTTTTTAAGACCACATTTGGAGCTCTTAAAAATAGTGAAACATTTTGCGATAACTGACCACAGGCTGTTTGGTCATACGAAATCCGGCTTCCCTTCACTCAACCACCACGCTTATCAATGTGAAGGATCTACAATAAACCACCGCAAAATAGACCATTTGTGACTACTTAAATGACCTGCAGGCGCAATAACACATAAAATACAACAAAAACAATAGCAATGACAACGACAACAAATAAATGGAAATAAGCTCAGCAACAATGGCAAGAGGTAATATAAAATCGTTGGCTATTTGTGGCAGCCAAGTTTTTGACTATGGTCGTAAATTCATACGAACAACAATGTTACTACAAAATTGGCTGCTGCGCTGTGTGTGTGTTTGTGTGCGTAGCTGAGCGCATAAGCAAAAGTGCGCCTGATTGTGTAAGTAAATGAATACATATATGCACATATACATATGTATATACAAAGATGTGAGTCTATATTTGAATGTTTGCTGGAGCAATAAAATCTGAGCCCGAGTTCACGAGGAGTATGCTGTGAAATTAATGATGCATATGTGAGTGCGTCCGTGCGTGTATGCATTCGTGTCCTGTACGAGGCCGGAAGGGCATAACGGAAACGAGTTATAGTCGCCGTTAAAATGTTATCTCCAACATTGAAGTCGGTATGTGTGTAAACTCAGTATTTGTATGTTTACAGTACGAGTACGAGCGCAATTTGATGCGTCGCTTTTAGTAGACGCATATGCAACCGTGTTTCTGTCAACGATCAGCTGTTTACGGACACCTGCAAATTTAAAGTATGTTTAAGAAATTTGAAGTTTTTTTTTTTTGGCGTTAGAAAAAAAAAACTTTATCAAAGATGGAATGTTACTAACGGGATTCATGGAAACTAAGTGTAGAGTTTCTAAGTTTTTAAAATGTTAAGGAGTAATTTATTGAAATCCTCTATGCTCACACTAACGAAATTTTAATTACCGGTGGTTCTTAGTTCATCACATTGATCCAAGTCCACCTGACACGCACTTTTGCTACAAAGGATCATAGAAATAAAATCAGCTGAGCTAAAAGCTAAGCTTACTGATCTCATACGATCCTGCCACAAACTAACAAAAAATGCATTTTCTATAAGGAATCGAAAATCGAAAGTTTGGAAGTTGGTAAGTCCATACAAAACTTTGAGCCGGGTTCGAAAGAGTTTTATTATTAAACGTGATCGATGAATGGGTCGAATATATGGTAAAATGTGAGTTACAAAATAAATAGCGGTGGAATGGCCGCGTGCCATATAGACTGTAAAAACTGTTAACAATAATATCCGACTAGGGAGTCTTACTCATTCCAACATATGATTCAGAACTTGCAACATCAGTCTGCCGTTTGATCTGATCGAGACAGGGCGCTGAGGGTATTAAAAAAAAACCTGATTGTAGATTTTCCCTGACGAGCATTATTATACCCCGAACAGAGTATATTCAGTTTTTTACGAAGAAATTTTAGAAAGAATCGTTATAGATTCTGTACATAATATATACTGTAAGTGATCAACCTCACATGCTGAATCGATTTAGTCACGCGAACGAGTCCCTCAGTTTTTGAAATATCGATTTGAAATTTTGCACACGTCTTTTCCTCGGCAAGAAGCGGCTAAATTGCTGGAACAAAAAATATCTGACCACTATAGGATATAGCTGCCTTACAAACTGATCGATGAAATTCAGTTCTGATATGGAAACTTTTTTATTTGTAAATGGTAAACATATAACAGCTTCGGTGCAGCCGAAGTTGACATGATTTTCTAGTTTTGGTTTGTTTTGGCGAGGAAATTGAGTGATATTTTTTTAAAGTGTTAAAAAGTGGAAAACTCCATATTCTACTGAGCCAAAGTTGTATGTAAAATAGGGCTCACAGA